TTTAGCCCTGAGATAGAAAAACACAAAGTTTCTTGTTTAGTCTGGCGTTGAGTTTGCCATCCCCATGTCACTGGAAGCACATCCAATGAAGCTGGATGATCTAGCTCCGGAGAATCCACGTGAGGACATCTTACGAGGTTTGTTTATTCCAAGTGCGAAAGCAGGACTGACCAATAATTTCAAATGTAGATGACGACGGTGTACCGTACTGTTATCTCTGTCATTCGGTCTTGAAAACATGGCAAGGCTATGAATATCACATAATGGCTGTTCATTTGAAGTGAGTGAGAATTGTCTGCACTATTCTTAACCTCAACATTGTCACCTCACAGATATCGACCCTACCGTTGCATGTACTGCATGAAAGAGTACTTTTATACAGAAGAAGAAGGACTGAGTCATGTTCGATCTCAACATCATGGGAAAACAGTAACGGTAAGAATTAATTACGCCCTATCTATTTTGTACCAATTTTGAGACAGTGATTGCTAGGAGGTTTACCTCTCTAATTACGTTGTTTATATATCACGTTCTGATGCTGCTTTTTGATGCTGATATCAGTAAAAGCTAAGGACGTGCTTTTACTTTTCTAACGTGCTATTTTTGAGCTTTTTCTGCGGAATTGCAGGTTTTACCGGTGGCATAAAAGTATGTAATTACAGCTGTTGCGAGAGTATCATGACGACAAAGAAAAGCAGCTTGAAGATGCGTTTTGCGCTCTTTTCATGGCTGTACGTGAGGGCGTGAGTACTGCTACCTTGTCTGCTTGGATCTTTTCTTTGACGGTACAAATTCCAGCCAAACTTCACCGCGGAGAGAGCTGCAGCCATCGAAAAGGCGGCATTTATGCATTTGCAAAAGTTCAAGCGAATGCGAATGAAAGTTCCTGAGTTTGCAACTCGAGCGAAGTTTGTCAGAGGCGTTTTTAAGTTTCGTTATCACTGCCTTAAATTTACAGGGTTATGCGAGATTTTGCATCGCAAACATTTTCCACGATGTCCTCTCCGAACTCCATGATTCCGGCATTAAAATATATGTCTCATCCACGGCATCAATATGAACACTTACAACATCATCTTGAACCATTACAGCATCCGCAGATCTCCATGCCATTGAAAGTGATGGATGTAGAACATGCAGATGGGCAGCAGAGATTTGTATGTATTTCTTATTGTTCGTTTACAGCTCTTCTTTTCTCTTGATTATTGCGTTTAGTTCGTCATTATGTGGAATCTACAATTTTAGGTACGCATGAGTAATGGTGAATTGGCCGAGATTAACGATCGATATGTTATTGAAGGGGTAGGTTGTGCTTACTTCATACATAAAATGTATCTATCTCCTACGTTAATATGAGGTTCATTGAAGTCGCGCTGATTCTTGCTTTTTGTAGGAGGAAGAAGATCCAGTGGGGGAATACATTGAAGTGGATTATGTAGATGAGATAATTGAGGAAGAAGTTGGACCAGGGAGAG